TCTTCATGTCCCGCTTCTTTCAGCAGTCTGCGCCAGTACTGGATGGTGTTGCCTCGCGAGTTCCCACTGCGTGTCCTCTCCATGTCCCAGAATCCGAGGACGGCTTTCTTCACAATCCTCTCATCCGACATTCTGAGAACGTGGCCCATTCGCTCTAATGCTCTGCACTCGATCTTGGTCCTTATCGATTCAATGTTCAGCTGTCTGCGGATCTCGTAGCTGTTGACTCCTTCATTCTGCATCCTTATCAGTGTGTGAGGTTTTCCATTGTTCCACACAAACCTGTAGGCTCTGTCTGCGACGCTCTGGAACTTCTGGATGTCGGTCGGTGTCCATGCTCTAACGCTACAGTCGAACAGGAGAGTGGACTCCACTACGGCTTGGACCACCAATGCTCTGGTGCGCTTGGAGAGGCTCGAATTCCAGAGCTCGAATTCCAGAGCCACTTCGGACAGAACCCACCCTGACCTCCTTGGCACGCCTTGAAGTGGTTCGTCAGAGCAGCCTGGTCCGAAAAACTGTCGTTGCACTTTGGACACTTGTAGTCCACTGACTCCCATCTGTGTGCTTTTCTCTCGTGATTCGTCCGTCCTCCTTTTGATGCGCACTTCTTGTCGCATCCGTCCCAGCGGCAAGGCCAACCGCTGTCACTTATTCTCTCTCGATTCCATTGTGAGCGGGCCGGTTTTTCCGATCCTGGGAGACAGGGTTGTCCCACAGAACAGAGGATAACATAACATTACCACATCAACCTCGCCTTCATCCACTGTAGAATGAGGTTGTCTCACATGAACGCGTATCCCCCCTCTCTCAACCTCCTGTACTCCTCCTCTACATCATCCACCAGAATAGAGGAAAACATAACATTACCACATCACCCTCACCTTCATCTACTGTAGAATGGGGTTGTCCCACATGAATACGTATCCGCACTCTCTCACCCCCTTGAACCCTTCTTCTGCATCTTCCACCCGGATAGAGGATAATATAACATTACCACATCACCCTTGCCTTCATTCACTGTAGAATAGCGTTGTCCCACATGAACGCGTATCCCCCCTCTCTCAACCTCCTGTACCCCTCCTCAGCATCATCCACCAGAATAGAGGATTATATAACATTACCACATCACCCTTGCCTTTATTCGCCGTAGAATGGGGTTGTACCACACGAACGCGTATCACCCCTCTCTCACTCTACTGTACCCCTCCTCTGCATCATCCACCAGAATAGAGGATAATATAACATTACCACATCACCCTTACCTTCATCCACTGTAGAATGAGGTTGTCTCATTTGAACGCGTATCCCCCCTCTCTCAACCTCCTGTACCCTTCCTCTGCATCATCCCACAGAACAGAGGATAACATAAAATTACCACATCAACCTCGCCTTCATCCACTGTAGAATGGGGTTGTCTCACATGAACGCGTATCCCCCCTCTCTCAACCTCCTGTACTCCTCCTCTACATCATCCACCAGAATAGAGGAAAACATAACATTACCACATCACCCTCACCTTCATCTACTGTAGGATGGGGTTGTCCCACATGAATGCGTATCCGCACTCTCTCACCCCCTTGAACCCTTCTTCTGCATCTTCCACCCGGAAAGAGGATAATATAACATTACCACATCACCCTTACCTTCATTCACTGTAGAATAGCGTTGTCCCACATGAACGCGTATCCCCCCTCTCTCAACCTCCTGTACCCCTCCTCTGCATCATCCACCAGAATAGAGGATTATATAACATTACCACATCACCCTTGCCTTTATTCGCCGTAGAATGGGGTTGTACCACACGAACGCGTATCACCCCTCTCTCACTCTACTGTACCCCTCCTCTGCATCATCCACAAGAATAGAGGATAATATAACATTACCACATCACCCTTACCTTCATCCACTGTAGAATGAGGTTGTCTCATTTGAACGCGTATCCCCCCTCTCTCAACCTCCTGTACTCTTCCTCTGCATCATCCCACAGAACAGAGGATAACATAACATTACCACATCAACCTCGCCTTCATCCACTGTAGAATGGGGTTGTCTCACATGAACGCGTATCCCCCCTCTCTCAACCTCCTGTACTCCTCCTCTACATCATCCACCAGAATAGAGGAAAACATAACATTACCACATCACCCTCACCTTCATCTACTGTAGGATGGGGTTGTCCCACATGAATGCGTATCCGCACTCTCTCACCCCCTTGAACCCTTCTTCTGCATCTTCCACCCGGATAGAGGATAATATAACATTACCACATCACCGTTACCTTCATTCACTGTAGAATAGCGTTGTCCCACATGAACGCGTATCACCCCTCTTCTTCTTTTGTCATTTACGCCCCGTGGGTGGCCTTGATTCCCAGTTTCCAGGACATGTGATCCTGTGTCTTGAAATGTTGTTTTTTGTCACCCAAGTACCGCATTCTTCGCATTGGATTCTGGCTCTCGTTCCGGCGAATCGTCCTGTGATATTGGTGTTGGTTACTTCTGGGGCTGTCGGGTGCTCTCCTCAACAGGTCCTCCGGTGTCTTGCCATGTTGCTCAACGACAGGGACTTCTGACACTTCGGACAGAACCCACCCTGACCTCCTTGGCACGCCTTGAAAAGGTTCGTCAGAGCAGCCTGGTCCGAAAAACTGTCGTTGCACTTTGGACACTTGTAGTCCACTGACTCCCATCTGTGTGCTTTTCTCTCGTGATTCGTCCGTCCTCCTTTTGATGCGCACTTCTTGTCGCATCCGTCCCAGCGGCAAGGCCAACCGCTGTCACTTATTCTCTCTCGATTCCATTGTGAGCGGGCCGGTTTTTCCGATCCTCTGTGCCAGTTGCACATTTGCGTCTCCCAGTTTTTGAGGAACGTCCTGCGATCTGTAACGGTCTTCTTCCATCGTTTCCGGTCATTGGTGAGGTTCTCGCTGTTGTCGTCTTCATGTCCCGCTTCTTTCAGCAGTCTGCGCCAGTACTGGATGGTGTTGCCTCGCGAGTTCCCACTGCGTGTCCTCTCCATGTCCCAGAATCCGAGGACGGCTTTCTTCACAATCCTCTCATCCGACATTCTGAGAACGTGGCCCATTCGCTCTAATGCTCTGCACTCGATCTTGGTCCTTATCGATTCAATGTTCAGCTGTCTGCGGATCTCGTAGCTGTTGACTCCTTCATTCTGCATCCTTATCAGTGTGTGAGGTTTTCCATTGTTCCACACAAACCTGTAGGCTCTGTCTGCGACGCTCTGGAACTTCTGGATGTCGGTCGGTGTCCATGCTCTAACGCTACAGTCGAACAGGAGAGTGGACTCCACTACGGCTTGGACCACCAATGCTCTGGTGCGCTTGGAGAGGCTCGAATTCCAGAGCCATTGCTTCACCTTGCTCCACGCGTGGTACCCTCTCTTGATCCTGGCTCCTCGGTCTTCTCGTTTCTCGATGAGGGTTCCCAGCATTCTAGTCCTCTGGGCGCTGGTTGTTGCAAAATTGATGGACTCTTCTTTTCCGTTGTGGCATTTCTCTTCGAACTCCATCATTTTCTTCTTGATCACCTCTTTCCCTGTGACGAGCTCTTCGGTCCAACCAAGTAGAGAAGTGTCGTCTGCAAACAACGAGTCCTCCAGGATGCAATTACACTTGTTGCTGCTACGCAATGCTCCGAGCGCTTCTCTCGGTGGGAGGCTGCCTCCTGGTGTCCACCTCCAGGTGAGACCGCACTCTTGGCCTCTCTCCGCCGCCTCCTTTCTCCGTTCTATTTCAGCTCTTCTTATTGCTTCGGCATGGTATACGTTGAAAAGGATAGGTGATGTTGCGCACCCCTCTCTGAGTCCTCTGGCGGGGGCCCAATCATCGCTGAGACCTTCCTTTCCTTTCACCCGGTATCGCGTTTCTTCATGGAGACCTTTCAGCAGGTCGAGCACCTTGTCCGTCATGCCAAATCTGGCTAACATACCCCACAGAAGGGGTTTGTTGGTGCGAGGGTAAGCCTTGGTGATGTCTAGGAGGACAGCCCCTGGCCGGTTCTCGTTGCACTCGTCTGTCATCCCGTACACTCTTCTTGTTTCTTCTTCCATCCGGATGATGATCTGCGTTGAGTCAGCCGTAGACCTTCCACCACGGAAACCGTTTTGGCTCTCATCTAGAGCGCCAATGGTTTCTGCCCATGTCCGGAGTCTCGTCGCGAAGATCCGTGCGATCAGTCTGCTTGCCAGTGGTAACAGGCACACTCCACGGTAGTTGCCCAGATCGTTCTTGGGACCTTTCTTGTGCAGGGGAATGACCCAGCCTTCCTTTATTTCTACCACATCACCCTTCCCTTTATTCATTTTACAATGGCGTTGTCCCACATGAACGCGTATCACCCCTCTCTCACCCTACTGTACCCCTCCTCTGCATCGTCCACCAGAATAGAGGATTATATAACATACCACATCACCCTTAACTTTTTTCACCGTAGAATGGGGTTGTACCGCACGAACGCATATCTCCCCTCTCTCACCCTCCTGTACCCCTCCTCTGCAATATCCACCAGAATAGAAGATAATATAACATTGCCTAAACATCCTTACCTTCATCCACTGTAGAATGAGGTTGTCTCACATGAACGCGTATCCCCCCTCTCTCAATCTCCTGTACCCCTCCTCTGCATCATCCACCAGAATAGAGGATTAAAAAACATTACCACATCACCCTTGCCTTTATTCGCCGTAGAATGGGGTTGTACCACACGAACGCGTATCACCCCTCTCTCACTCTACTGTACCCCTCCTCTGCATCATCCACCAGAATAGAGGATAATATAACATTACCACATCACCCTTACCTTCATGCACTGTAGAATGAGGTTGTCTCATTTGAACGCGTATCCCCCCTCTCTCAACCTCCTGTACCCTTCCTCTGCATCATCCCACAGAACAGAGGATAACATAACATTACCACATCAACCTCGCCTTCATCCACTGTAGAATGGGGTTGTCCCACATAAACGCATAACCCCCCTCTCTCACCCTCCTGTACCCCTCCTCTGCATCATCCACTAAAATAGAGGATAATATAACATTACCACATCACCCTTACCTTCATCCACTGTAGAATGGCATTGTCCCACATGAACGCGTATCACCCCTCTCTCACTCTACTGCACCCCTCCTCTGCATCATCCACCAGAATAGAGGATAATATAACATTACCACATCACCCTTGCCTTCATCCACTGTACAATGAGGTTGTCTCACATGAACGCGTTTCCCACCTCTCTCAACCTCCTGTACCCCTCCTCTGCATCATCCACCAGAATAGAGGATAATATAACATTACCACATCACCCTTACCTTCATCCACTGTAGAACGGCGTTGTCCTACATGAACGCGTATCCCCTCTCTCTCACCCTCCTGTACCCTTCCTCTGCATCATCCACCAGAATAGAGGATAACATAATATTACCACATCACCCTCACCTTCATCCTCTGTAGAATGAGGTTGTCCCACATGAACGCGTATCCCCCCTCTCTCACCCTCCTGTACCCCTCCTCTGCATCATGCACCAGAATAGAGGATAACATAACATTACCACATCACCCTTACCTTCATCCACTGTAGAATGGCATTGTCCCACATGAACGCGTATCACCCCTCTCTCACTCTACTGCACCCCTCCTCTGCATCATCCACCAGAATAGAGGATAATATAACATTACCACATCACCCTTGCCTTCATCCACTGTACAATGAGGTTGTCTCACATGAACGCGTTTCCCACCTCTCTCAACCTCCTGTACCCCTCCTCTGCATCATCCACCAGAATAGAGGATAATATAACATTACCACATCACCCTTACCTTCATCCACTGTAGAACGGCGTTGTCCTACATGAACGCGTATCCCCTCTCTCTCACCCTCCTGTACCCTTCCTCTGCATCATCCACCAGAATAGAGGATAACATAATATTACCACATCAACCTCGCCTTCATCCACTGTAGAATGGGGTTGTCCCACATAAACGCGTAACCCCCCTCTCTCACCCTCCTGTACCCCTCCTCTGCATCATCCACTAAAATAGAGGATAATATAACATTACCACATCACCCTTACCTTCATCCACTGTAGAATGGCATTGTCCCACATGAACGCGTATCACCCCTCTCTCACTCTACTGCACCCCTCCTCTGCATCATCCACCAGAATAGAGGATAATATAACATTACCACATCACCCTTGCCTTCATCCACTGTACAATGAGGTTGTCTCACATGAACGCGTTTCCCACCTCTCTCAACCTCCTGTACCCCTCCTCTGCATCATCCACCAGAATAGAGGATAATATAACATTACCACATCACCCTTACCTTCATCCACTGTAGAACGGCGTTGTCCTACATGAACGCGTATCCCCTCTCTCTCACCCTCCTGTACCCTTCCTCTGCATCATCCACCAGAATAGAGGATAACATAATATTACCACATCACCCTCACCTTCATCCTCTGTAGAATGAGGTTGTCCCACATGAACGCGTATCCCCCCTCTCTCACCCTCCTGTACCCCTCCTCTGCATCATGCACCAGAATAGAGGATAACATAACATTACCACATCACCCTTACCATCATCCACTGTAGAATGGGGTTGTCCCACATGAACGCGTATCCCCCTCTCCCACCCTCCTGTACCCCTCCTCTGCATCATCCACCAGAATAGAGAATAATATAACATTACCACATCACCCTTACCTTCATCCACTGTAGAATGGGGTTGTCCCACATGAACGCGTATACCCCCTCTCTCACCCTCCTGTACCCCTGCTCTGCATCATGCACCAGAATAGAGGATAACATAACATTACCACATCACCCTTACCATCATCCACTGTAGAATGGGGTTGTCCCACATGAACGCGTATCCCCCCTCTCTCACCCTCCTGTACCCCTCCTCTGCATCATCCACCAGAATAGAGGATAATATAACATTACCACATCACCCTTACCTTCGTCCACTGTAGAATGGGATTGTCCCACATGAACGCGTATCCGCCCTCTCACACCCTCCTGTACCCCTCCTCTGCATCATCCACCAGAATAGAGGATAATATAACATTACGACATCACCATTAACTTCATCCACTGTAGAATGGGGTTGTCCCACATGAACGCGTATTCCCCCTCTCTCACCCTCTCTCACCCTCCCCCTCTCTCACCCTACGCGTACCCCTGCTCTGCATCAACAACCCCCCTTCTACATGAATGCGTATCCCCCCTCTCTCACCCTCCTGTACCCCTCCTCTGCATCATCCACCAGAGTAGAGGATAATATAACATTACAACATGACCCCCACCTTCATCCACTGTAGATTGAGGCTGTCCCACTTGAACGCGAAACCATCTTCCTCACCCTCTTTTACCCCTGCTCTGCATCATTCACCAGGATAGAGTGTAGTATAACATTAAAAAATGAACCCTACCTTCATCCACTGTAGAAAGGGGTTGTCTCGCATGAACGCGTATCCCCCTCTCTCAACCTCCTGTACCCCTCCTCTGCATCATCCACCAGAATAGAGGATAATAAAACATTACCACATCACCCTTACCTTCATCCACTGTACAATGAGGTTGTCTCACATGAACGCGTTTCCCACCTCTCTCAACCTCCTGTACCCCTCCTCTGCATCATCCACCAGAATAGAGGAGAAAATAACATTACAACATGACCCCCACCTTCATCCACTGTAGATTGAGGCTGTCCCACTTGAACGCGAAACCCTCTTCCTCACCCTCCTTTACCCCTGCTCTGCATCATTCACCAGGATAGAGTGTAGTATAACATTAAAAAATGAACCCTACCTTCATCCACTGTAGAAAGGGGTTGTCTCGCATGAACGCGTATCCCCCTCTCTCAACCTCCTGTACCCCTCCTCTGCATCATCCACCAGAATAGAGGATAATATAACATTACCACATCACCCTTACCTTCATCCACTGTACAATGAGGTTGTCTCACATGAACGCGTTTCCCACCTCTCTCAACCTCCTGTACCCCTCCTCTGCATCATCCACCAGAATAGAGGAGAAAATAACATTACCACATCACCCTTACCTTCATCCTCTGTAGAACGGCGTTGTCCCACATGAACGCGTATCCCCTCTCTCTCACCCTCCTGTACCCTTCCTCTGCATCATCCACCAGAATAGAGGATAATATAACATTACCACATCACCCTTACCTTCGTCCACTGTAGAATGGGATTGTCCCACATGAACGCGTATCCGCCCTCTCACACCCTCCTGTACCCCTCCTCTGCATCATCCACCAGAATAGAGGATAATAAGGATAATATAACATTACGACATCACCATTAACTTCATCCACTGTAGAATGGGGTTGTCCCACATGAACGCGTATTCCCCCTCTCTCACCCTCTCTCACCCTCCCCCTCTCTCACCCTACGCGTACCCCTGCTCTGCATCAACAACCCCCCTTCTACATGAATGCGTATCCCCCCTCTCTCACCCTCCTGTACCCCTCCTCTGCATCATCCACCAGAGTAGAGGATAATATAACATTACAACATGACCCCCACCTTCATCCACTGTAGATTGAGGCTGTCCCACTTGAACGCGAAACCATCTTCCTCACCCTCCTTTACCCCTGCTCTGCATCATTCACCAGGATAGAGTGTAGTATAACATTAAAAAATGAACCCTACCTTCATCCACTGTAGAAAGGGGTTGTCTCGCATGAACGCGTATCCCCCTCTCTCAACCTCCTGTACCCCTCCTCTGCATCATCCACCAGAATAGAGGATAATAAAACATTACCACATCACCCTTACCTTCATCCACTGTACAATGAGGTTGTCTCACATGAACGCGTTTCCCACCTCTCTCAACCTCCTGTACCCCTCCTCTGCATCATCCACCAGAATAGAGGAGAAAATAACATTACAACATGACCCCCACCTTCATCCACTGTAGATTGAGGCTGTCCCACTTGAACGCGAAACCCTCTTCCTCACCCTCCTTTACCCCTGCTCTGCATCATTCACCAGGATAGAGTGTAGTATAACATTAAAAAATGAACCCTACCTTCATCCACTGTAGAAAGGGGTTGTCTCGCATGAACGCGTATCCCCCTCTCTCAACCTCCTGTACCCCTCCTCTGCATCATCCACCAGAATAGAGGATAATATAACATTACCATATCACCCTTACCTTCATCCACTGTACAATGAGGTTGTCTCACATGAACGCGTTTCCCACCTCTCTCAACCTCCTGTACCCCTCCTCTGCATCATCCACCAGAATAGAGGAGAAAATAACATTACCACATCACCCTTACCTTCATCCTCTGTAGAACGGCGTTGTCCCACATGAACGCGTATCCCCTCTCTCTCACCCTCCTGTACCCTTCCTCTGCATCATCCACCAGAATAGAAGATAACATAACATTACTACATCACCCTTACCTTCATCCTCTGTAGAATGGGGTTTCCCACATGAACGCGTATCGCCCTCTCTCAACCTCCTGTACCCCTCCTTTACATCATCCACCAGAATAGAGGATAATATAACATTACCACATCACCCTTACCTTCATCCACTGTAGAATGGGGTTGTCCCACATGAACGCGTAACCCCCCTCTCTCACCCTCCTGTACCCCTCCTTTACATCATCCACCAGAATAGAGGATAATATAACATTACCACATCACCCTTACCTTCATCCACTGTAGAATGGGGTTGTCCCACATGAACGCGTAACCCACCTCTCTCACCCTCCTTTACCCCTCCTTTAAATCATCCACCAGAATAGAGGATAATATAACATTACCACATCACCCTTACCTTCATCCACTGTAGAATGGGGTTGTCCCACATGAACGCGTAACCCCCCTCTCTCACCCTCCTGTACCCCTCCTCTGCATCATCCACAAGGATAGAGGATAAAAAAACATTACCACATCACCCTTACCTGCATCCACTGTACAATGAGGTTGTCTCATTTGAACGGTATCCCCCCTCTCTCAACCTCCTGTACCCTTCCTC